AATACGAGCATTGTCATTATCTGGATTGCTGCAGTCATGCTAATGTATGGATCATATTAGCTTATATACAGGCCAAATTGATTATGTATTGGTATTGAGTAAAAAATCAATACTACATATACTGTATACTCAAACTTTTATATTGTAATTGGCACTCACTACAAATAGCGTTACAGAAATTGACGACTTATGATGCCCAGTGGATTAGATAGCCATGTAATTGAAAGTGATTTTTTGTTGTTTTTGCTTTAGAAATCATAAATGTATTTTAAAATCTAATCTGGGGGAAAGGACAGAATTATTTTGATATTTGCAAAGAATTGCAATTATAATCCACATTTTGTTTGTTTGTTTATTATTCAAGTTGTACGTACACTGGTACAGAATGCACAGTTAAAAATCAAACAAACGGGATTCAATGAGTCGATTTGAACGCTATAATATATCACTATTATATTCGACAGAAGTAACGATTCATGGCAGGTGATTTATGTATTATACTTGTACACCAAAGAATCTAAATACAATGTAACTATCCTGCACTCAACAATATTCACAATATATTTAATATTTTTTCATGTATTAAACCTACGATAGTTGCTCAAGGTCCCCCCCCCCCCCCTCCCCTAAATGGACCTTCAGTTGGTATATTTGCCTTACTTTTGCTATAATGCATTTCCACATTTGAAGGTTCCGGTAGAATGATGTTTTCTAGGCATATTTAATCACTTATAGGGGAAGTCTAGCCTGGTATTATGTTGATTCTAATTAAACCAGAGAAATCATAGAAACTAGTGAGCGGATGTTTGAAAAAAAATTGATTAAGAAAATAAGCAAGCTAGTTTTTAAGATCACTAAGTACTTCAAATTGGCAATGGTACAGTTTTTCATTACAAAGCATTCTTCTTTATATTTAATTTAAACAAAAAAATTGTTTCCATTTTTCTTGAAGAATAATGCGGTTTCAAACATGTGCTGAAAAAATACATGTTCATCATCGGAAGCTTTTTATGGTATTTCTTTGTTAAATACATTTATCTTAATGCAATGATGTTGATATTTTGAAAATTGGCTGATGATCAAACAAACAATAAATGAATGAATGAATAAATAAATTGATAGATAAATACATGTAGATATTATATAAATTATAAATGAATAAAAACATAGATAAATAGAATTAAATGGATAGGTCCTTGCAACGGAAATCATTTCCTTGCCAATTTGTGTGGTGATCTTAAAAACTTCAAATCTTGTTACTTTTCATCCGATTTTGCTCAAATTCCACTGGCCCATCATAGATGTTCCTGCTTTTAGATTTTCTGTTAAATGCTTGATTTAGAATTCAAACTTCATTAAGTTGGTTGATTATTGTAGCAGTGAAATCATGCTTATATTTTGCACTGGAAGGCCTTTTATTCGTTCGTTGTTCGAACAATTTTTGATGTTTAGAGAAACCACTGTTATATTCTTTGTAAAGCCTTCATAAAGAAACGATATCTTTGTTCATGTGCTTACATAGTATATGGGAACCACTGTGATAATGTCCATAAGTGACATTAGTGCCATATGTGGTTCCTTGGCTCTCGTTTTACGTTGTATTATGTAATGATGCATGATTGTTCTCCATGCGTCTTGATCCAATGGCTTGCAATTTCCTTTTTTTGTTGTTCCAAACCTTCTGGTTTTGACAAATAAATATCAATCATAAAATTCAACAAAGTTTTCACCAAAAATTTGAAAACTGCAAATTAATGGTAGTTGCTTCAAAATTTGATTAATTAACTGTAAACCAAAAAAAAATGCTAAGTAAAGGTTGAGATACTGTATCTGGGTCTTGCCTTTTAAAAAAATGTTGCGATGATTCAAATTGATCGCACCTTGATATATCAATGGCAAGTCTGTACCATTATAATAAAGATATAGGAGTTTGTAAGTTTGCGATTGAATGGAACAAAATCGTCAATCGATCCTGCTCAACTGCAACTCTTCGTAAGACAGACAGGGCCCTCGTCTGTTAGGAATTCGAATTTGGTCGATCGTATTGCCCCACATGTGCATTTCTCTGAGGTACTTTTTTTCAAGCAAAGGATAATATGGAGATTGAAAGTGTCAATGGAGAAAAATGAAAAATGCTTTACTCTGTATTCAATACAGTTTTCAAAGTCACGCTGTGATTTTGCACTTCAGTTGCACATCGTTCTTGAAGAAATGCACAAATTGATTTCTGTATTCACTTTTTCACTTCCGTCAGCTGCGGCACACATGTACATGTGAAATGAGTTATTTTCTCCGCTAAAAGCATCATTTTTGTACACATTGAACATCGGATTGTTTTGTACAGCGTATTTCCACACGTACATGCTCATTTTGTTGGTTTAATGTTGCCCCAAAAAGGAAACTAGCACAGTCACGCTACATTTACTTGGTTATTTTAATTCCTTCATGATTCACAAATGTGTTGCTAGGTCAGGGCAGAGTTAGGGTAAGGTCCTGAAAAATAATTTTGTTTTAAGCATGTCATTTGCATTTTGCAATGTGTTCAAGTTGTCTAGAGAACATATGATGAAGAACTACATATTAAAATATTTGATGCCATAAATTATTTTTGTCCATCAAAAGTTACGAATGAAGCCTTTAAGAAAATGTCACATCAATGCATGCTTTGTTTGACCTTATTTTCAGTTGCGAACCAGCCTTTACCAATTTGAAGTATCGAGCTTCAGCGGACAAGGATATTTGAAATAAAAGAATGATATAAGTTGTTGCTACCTTGTTTGGCGTCCAACAATAAAGGATAGAGCAACGTCGATCTGGCGCTGCTCAGTGGCTGCCGGGCTCACGATCAATTGGGCAAAAAGAATTTCCGTTTCGGTTTAATAAAATTTGGAGTGGACTATTAGGCTATTATTATCATTAAACTTGATGATACTATGGGGTTACTAAACAATATCTTAAGTGTATTGTATGTGAAAGACGTAATAATTAGTATGTTCATAGAGAATTATAATATTTAGGATATAAGAATACTAGCAGTATTTCTGTAGAACGATGATTTCTTTTTCTTTTTTTTGCATATTTACATTTCAATTCTCACGCACTTGTATAAATATGATGAAAATAATATGATGGTATTAATGATTTATGTGATGAAGGCATATGATAGGCAACAGTGATACGATGTATGAGACAAATACATTGATGTACACCGGTACACTGAAAATGATACGATAAATACATTGATGTATTACACTGACAAAATAATTTTTGAAAATAACTGATGTAAACTTTTCCTGTCACTATCTATTGTGAGGTGTATGTTTTTGATGCAATGATGTAAAAGAAATATAACTTTTTTTTCTCTCTCTTCTGTAATTAATGCGTGATAAGAGTGACTTGGTGAATGACGAGCTTACTAATGAGTTTGTCGGAACTCTGTCGGTGGATATTATGTGAAAGATTTAAGTTTTTTCTGTTTTTTTGCTAGTTTTTTTCATTTCTTCAACCTTTTTCTTATTGATTTTCTGTAAGTTGTCAAGATGCTGTGTAGACTACGATATGAGAAACAAAATGCACTTAAATGGGTTCAATAAAAAAAGAAAAATATGACCAAGTTAAATCCGAGTCGCAAGTTGTTGTATATGTTGTGGTATCGTGGTGTTTTGTGAATTTGATATGAACGAGCAGATCAGTCGGACTGCTGAGGAAGACACCAGACAGACACCAGACAGACATCAGAGAGACACCAGAGAGACACCAGAGAGACACCAGACAGACACCAGAGAGACACCAGACAGACACCAGAGAGACACCAGACAGACACCAGACAGACACCAGACAGACACCAGACAGACACCAGACAGACACCAGGGCCCTGTCTTATAAAGAGTTACGAGAGTCCTCCAATCAATCTCAAGTTGCAGTCTCCTATCTCTCATGTACATAGTTGCGATTGATATCGTTTGCAAATAAGTTGCGATTGATATCAATTCTTTAATATAAGACGGGCCTAGATGAAACAATAAAAAATTTATATGATTCTGAATGGCCAAAATCAGTCAATTTGGAGTTTATTTGGCGGTCTGACTGAGATATGACATAAGTTGAGTGTATGGAGAGCAAAAAAAAATAGAGAAACGAGTATGAGAGTGTGAACAAAAATAAGAAAATATGAATTTATCAAACTTGATATGGGGCTTTCAAGCTGGCAGTGTCTCTGTGATGTTTTGTTTTACAATTCTCCCATCTTTTTACCATGTATATTGGGTAATTATAATTCTACAAATTTCTTTTTAAAGTACATTCTATGATAGACGGTGTTCTTTTCAAGAGGGCAAACAAAAGGTATTCATGAAGCCCCTCCATCACTTTGAGAGTGATTATTCTAAACTGCAAAAAGTGGGACTTCTCCATGTTTAAAAGATCAGTGGATATTTGGGGGGGGGGGGGGGGGTCATTTGTACAATATACTATCTATGAACTGGTCTACAGTTGCCTGAACGAGACTCACCAAAACCATACAATTTGTTTAAAGGGGAAGTTCACCCTGATATTAAGTTGGTTTTAATAGAAGCAGAAAATGAGAGAAACGGGTCTGTAAAAGTTTGAGAAAAAAACAATTAAAATAAGAAAGTTATGAATTTTTGAATGTGTGATCAGTCAAACACAAATTACTCTGTGACGAATTTTGTAAGCTCCCTTCCCATTTACCCTGTATTTGAAAGCTTCAAAATTAGTATTCTCCCTTGTATAAAACAATCTATTCCATCATCAATAACTAAGAAAACGAAATTTGTCTGTACAGAGTATGTTGGAGAGATTCACAAGTGTTCATAACTTTCCTATTTTTAATTGGATATTGGTCAAAATTTCACTAATTTGTTTCTCTCATTTTTCTGCTTGATAAAAATACCCAACTTAATAGTTGGATGGACTTCCCCTTTGAAACCACATACTGCAAAAGGCATAGAATACATAAAATCATGCATTTACAAGTATGATTCTTGTTCTCATAATTTATTATCTCATACACGTATATCTGGAGACAGCACCATTCAACTTTACATTCATATCTTCTTATACAATCGAATAAAAAGAATATACCAATTCCATAATTTCTCTTTCTCTGTTACAATATATACAAACAATTGAACACACAATCGTACAATACATCATTAGCTTCTTGTTGAAGTATACATAGTCATCGAAATAAGAACAATATAAATATTGCGTACTTTCTTGAGAGTTCAAATATAAATTTGGCATTTCATTATTCTTAATTCATTGTTTCATTCCCTTGAAGTTGATTGTATTGTACAGAAGCTTTTACAAATTTAAGAATGTATAAATACTATCATTTTGTGTTCATGGAATATTGAAGTACTTGAATACTGCTCAAAGAATATCTAAGATTGGAAGGAGAAGAAAATGGGAGGATTGGAATTTCAATAAATCCCACGCTGAGATGATGGAACTCTCACATTGTGGGCAGAAGATAAAAGCCCAGTCCATGATAATAGTAACAGAAAATTGGGCTGCTTTTTATCAAAATTGACACGTTATATGTGAATCCTGCTGATTTCAAAAGATACAAATATAGAAATATTAAGGCAACATTGCCATCATACGTCACATGTTTCAAAATATACTTCTATTCTCTCTTGTAGTATGCAAAAATAAACAGAACTTCTGTTAATATTTAAAAGAATTAGAGCGCAAACACCATTCTTCAAAGCATATACACTGCTTGATAATACTTTATATTCATCATTTGTTATCTCTAGTTCTGCGTCTGTAGGCATTTGAAAGTTTACCTCATATTCTACAGGTGGTTTCCATAAAATTTTCATGGTTTATACATATCAGAAATTCTTTGATTACTGAACAATTACAAAGATAAAACTGCATTTTTTTGTGGAAAAAAGGAATCCAACAACAGAAAAAGGCAATAGCAATGAAACGATTATTAGTTGGCATTTTTTAATTTATTTATTTCTGACTTTTATACATTTTCACCAATAGTGGTGTTCTTCCAAAAACAAACAAGAAAACAAGAAAAACATGTTTATTTGAGCTTTCTCATTATATACTGTCTATATGTTTGGCCCCATTCTTTTTTGGACTTAATTTAAGTTTTCCATCTTTTGCTGCATAGATTTAACAAGAATTTCATACATGTAAAGCATACATTTACTCACAAAATATGTGGCATTCAAGTCTAATTCAACTTGGCTAGTTTAAAAACTTCAGAAGAAACTTTGGACTATCTTATTTTACACAAATAACTTCATATGAAGGAGCTGCAATGCAACGATCTTCAACATACATCACTAGTTCTGAATACCAGCCCATATAAAGTACATATCAATAGATGACCTTGTTGAGGTCATCATATAATGGATGTGACATGAGATGACCTTCATGACGGCGGTCAAAGGGTCATGTTTAACGATTCTGGGCTGATTCAGCTGCTGCCACCATACCACTGAATAGAGAGTTGGGATTGGCGAGGAGGTTGCTTGGCTTATCAAACTCCGCAACCTACAGATGAGAAAAAAAAGTATAAGAAAGAAAAATATTTGTTAGCGAGTTTAATACAATATATGTTTCCCTACAGTAATATTATATTTGTTTATCCACCCTTAGCTAGCATACGTTTAATCAAACATTCTCTGGGATTCAAGTCCAATTCAACTTGGCTAGTTTCAACATATATAGAGCATATATGTATATATAAGCTGTTTAGAAATAGAGTATTATCAAGTTAAAAATGCATTATCACAAAGAGTCTTACAAGAAACTATTAAAAAACCAATAAAAAGAGGACAATTTCCTCCAACTTTACGATCACTCCTTCCCCTCCCCCCAAGAGACTGGTGACTCTTTCTTACCATTCCATCGTCCATAACCAGTACTTTATCTGAATCGAGGATGGTGTTGAGTCTGTGTGCAACTGTGAGCATGGTACAATCTTTGAACTCTTCTCTAATTGTCTGCTGGATCAAGGAATCTGTCTCCGTATCGATAGCTGCTGTAGCCTCATCCAACATCAAGATCTGAAGAGAAAAAAAGACAATGTCAGGCTTAAAAATAGGACAAAACAGTATATGTATGGGCAGTCATGTCCCCATTTCACGTCCAAATAATTCTGTATCACATTAGTTTCTTTCCTGTACCCAGTTTGAAGTACTTTTATTAACTTAAGTTAATCAATGTTTCATATCTCATTGAATCGTTAATACAGTATAAACCAGAAAGAACGCTTTGTTCCAGTAAAATGTCCTACAAACTATGACAAATTCTTACGGAGAAAAGTCATTTCCATATGCAGCCACTGTTTTATGGAATAACTTGTACAAATTGAAATAAAGTGTACTTCATTATACTTCAATCAATGATGATTCCTACAATCTTATATTGAAGAATTTTTTCTTGATTTTATCTTGGTACCTTGACTGCTAATTTAAGTACCTATTAGGAATTGTTAATATCTTGATATCTTCTATTGTGAATATGAGAGTATGAATGAAATACAATCGATTCCTTTTTTTTTACCCATCACTAATTTGTGATCTTTGAACGAACTCTCTTCCGAACCCTATACACATCACTTTTCAAAAAGTAGCGATTTAATTATATTCAAAGAAAAAATCTGCCCATCAAGAAGATTAAGTTTTCCAGAAACATAAATCCATAACAGTCATTCTCATTCTCATTCTCTTCACTCAGATTTTAAGATGAGATGAGATGTGAAGAAGATGTTAATGAGATTGAAAGAAAGCTAACGTCCTTCTACCTCCAATGCCTTACCTTACTGCCTCTCAGCAGAGCCCTCGCCATACACATGAGCTGCCTCTCTCCTACTGAGAAGTTATCGCCACCTTCTGTTACCGGAGCTTCTAACTGACTCTCAAGCGCACTGATCTATAATGAAGAAAACAGACATAAAATTACCGCTTGTTGAAGTGCTGTAGATATAATTGTGCATGTACTTGTCAATTAACATTTACTGTACAGACAATGCATTGTAATACCCTGGTTTACTAACATAAATGGCTTACTAAATAAATGGTTTATTAATATAAATGGTTTACAAACATAACTGGTCCTTGCAGCCATCAGGCGACAGAAGAAATTGATTTAATTAAATTTAATTGAGGAACTTAACATTAATCTTGATCTAAGGAGACACAAACGAAAACAACTAACATATTCAAATTTAAAGCATAATTTTTCAACAAAGTTTGTTTATGACAACATGGAGCTTGCCCGAGGTATGCCCGACACATCAACAAGTAATGTATACCGATCAGATTCTCAGTATTGCAATAATAGTTATTAAAAAAAAAAAAAAAAAAAAAAATTCAATCCCACCGCTGCCACCATTTTATTGCCACGTTGCAATTGTAATTGTAATCGTGATTGTAACTTTTCTTACAAATTTGAATATTGTTGTGATTGTGTTGCTGAAATCGTGACTAATTATAGCTGGAATTGAATTTTCAATCCCACCGCTGCCACCATTTTATAGACACGTTACCAAAATACCAGTTGTAAGAAAGTCAAGTGTCATCAGACAACATAGCGAAGAAAACATGCCCTAACCAATGTTTCTGGTCTGGTTCTCTAGCAATTTACAGGTATATATTTGGTAATAAAAGGGGTAGTGTATGAATATATGATGGCATATATTGGGCTATTTATAACTGAAATAGAACCATTGTGGCGAAGAGACAAGAATGTTGATGGTTTCTTACCCTGTCCTTCATGTAGGATCTCTCCAGAGCCTCCCAGAGCTCTTTGTCACCGTGCTCATTGAAAGGATCCAAATTATACCTGCAGAAGAAGAAGAGCAAATCAAAGTTATCAATCTTCTGATCTGGGGAGAGACATGTGTTAAAAGATGATGACGTAGATCCTAATCAAATGATTGGTTGAGAGCGTACATGTGACCAGGCATTTATTTTGACTAACACATAATTTTGATAACAACTGTTCATTATCAAATGCTAATGACTGGTCATTAGTAAAATCATGTTATAAAACAAATAAAACAATCTTAGAAAACAACACATCTTATTTTTCGGTCATTAGTAAAATTACCCACATTCGGTACCTTCAACACAGTCCAAACACCCTCAGCTATCGCATCGGGCGTGTTAGACTGTTCCAAAGGCGACTTGGGTGATTGTTGCACTTTTGTACATGATGGTAAAAAATCGGTCTAATAGCCTACCTGACTGTTCCGATGAAGAGAACAGGGTCTTGAGGGATGATGGAGAGCTTAGAACGAAGATCGTGAAGACCGATCTGCTTTACGTCGATTCCGTCAATGATGATCTGCCCACTGGCGCCCTCTACCAATCGGAACAAGGCAACTCCAAGGGTCGATTTACCTGCGAGCCAAAGGGACATAAGTATGAATGTATGGAATTAATCACAACTCATGAAGAAGTATTTTAAAATAACACATAAATGCATACCTCAAGAGTTCAATCAAAACAACATGTATAATAAAGTACAGGGAAACAGCTCCCAACTTTATTGTATGTATAACATATGAGCAAGAAATAAACAATTCTACAGAAAATGTTGATGATGATGATCCACAGCACTTGTATGGCGCCATTTATTTGTTTCAAATATTCAAAGGCGCCCGCTCCTCCAATAGTCATGGACTACAAATTTGCTTTAAAAGATGGGTTTTGAAACCTGACTTAAAGCTTTCTAGCTTGTTGTTGTCGCAAAGAATAGGAGGGAGGGAGTTCCAGAGGCGTGGAGCAACTGTTATGTAAGTCTATACCCTCTGTGCCATGTTATTAGAACTCCAGCCCTATCAAATACCTCTTCAAAATTATCATTTGCTGCGAGCCAAAATGGAGCCAAAATCAACATTGTATACAATAAACTGAATTAATACCCTGCTTATTCAAGAATTTATGATTCCATATCGTACCTGATCCTGTCCTGCCCACGATGCCAACCTTCTCATTGGGTTTGACGACGAGCTTGACGCCCTTCAACACAAGAGGGAGCCCATCCCTGTAGCGCATCTTGAAGTCTCTGAACTCTATCTGACCCTGATCTGGCCATTGCTTGGCCGGGCGTTTGTTCTTGATTACCCTGGGTGCCTCTGCAACAAGATTCTGTGTGGAGATAATGAACAATAATAATAATAATAATAGTAATATACCGCTCTTACATCGCGCTTAAAGGCACACTGTCCTACTTGTAGCTACTTGCTCCCTCTAAATAGAAAACTTCCCCACTCGGTGCCTGTTGGTCCCCAATGATCCTCTTTTTCTTTTTAAATGAGAGCTGAGTTAATGAGATAGCCACCTGTCACAGTGACCTCGCTGGGTCGCTGGGTGGTCTAATCCCTTCTGGCTTAAGTAGTAAAGCCTGCCTTTAATACATCTACGATGTCTCTAATCGCTTTACAGACATACTATTACCCTGGACATTGGATTCAATACTTAAAGGAAACCAAAACCTTCATTAAATTACTTTTATTGTAAAGTTTAAAAGATTTGAATAAAATCAGTGAAAATTTGAACAAAATCGGGCAAGGAATAAGAAAGTTAGAGCTTTTTTAAATGACTAGTCACTAGAGGGCGGTATTTAATTTGATGACATCATCTGTGAACAACTCTCCTTTTGTACATAACATTTCACAATTTTTTGTTTTCTTCGTATTTATTTGTGTTCTTGATCCGACTTCATAACATGTGAAGTAGAATATTATTTTGCATTCTATATCTTGCTTTCAGGGGAGTACATTATCTCAATCACAAGAAAGAAGGAAAAACATGAAATTTGATGTACAAAAGGCATGGAGAGTTGTCCACAGATGATGTCATCAAATTGAATACCGCCCTCTAGTGACTAGTAATTTCAAAAAGCTCTTACTTCCTTATTCCTTGCCCGATTTTGTTCAAATTTTCACTGATATTTTTCAAATATCTTAAACTTTACAATAAAAGTAACTTAGTATGAAGGTTTTGGTTTCCTTTAACTGCACACACTGTTTGCACAAGATTAAGGAAGGTCGAATAAAGGTGGTGACATGAACTTTAACCCGGCAACCTTTTACAGCAAAAATAAGGAATATCTCAAGGCAAAATCATGAATATAGTCTATTTTTTTATTTTCACACAGAATATTTCAGAAAAAGAGGAGAATCTAGGTTATAGAATAGCTTGAAGACCAAAAATAGGAATTGTTGGCAGTGTTTAAAAGTATGAATTCGCTTCCTTTATATTAAATAGAAAGCATTGCAAAATATATTTTCATTTTCTGATGTGTAGTTATTTGGTATAACAATTTACTTTTATAGGGGGGCGGGGAGCACAAACTAGTTTGTACTAGTACTTTCACATCAGAAAGTACTTTTATGGAATTCTAAAGATAAATCATATATAATTACGGAAGTGAACTGGTATACATGTATCTAGAATTAGAAAATATCTTTAATATATTAATATGAGTGGAATTGAAAAAAGATTTGAAAATTCCCTCTTACCTTCATGTAGCTCTGGATTCTTTCTACTGATGTGAAGCGAGCTTCTGTTTCTGAGGCCATGAGAACCAACATCTGGAACATACCCGTCAACTGTGAACGGAACAAAATGAATACAGTTAAAAAATGTTTGAATTGAATCAAGAATTTGCTTTTTATCAAGTACATGTAGTGCGCCTTAGTGAGTCAAAGAGTTCATGATTATGTTATGTTCCCACCTATCGCATTAAGGAACAATTTCAACTTATTTTATTCCTTGTTAAAGCTATACTTGCAATTTTTTCCAAAACGTGGTACAGAAACATCTCCATCCTATGGATATATATATATTGCAATTTCATCAATGTGAAGTATAGATGCGTAATCAAATATGATGGCATTCATCTTCTTATAAGTATGAAATATCAATGATATTTCCATTGGAATAACATTTCATAGTGTGCCAACCTCTGATCTGGGGGGTATTTCACAAAGATCCTAAGTCAAACTTAACTCTAGGTTGGATATAAAAATTATGGAGAGCCATTTGTAGCCTTAAAATAAAATATATTCAAAAGCGAAAATTCAAGTATTTAGACTTTTTATAATTTCACATCAAGAACATGAAATTTCCTTGATAATAGAAAATATGAATGATTTGAATCAACATTTTATGCCTTGTGAAATAAGTTTTACAACATATTTTTTCACAGATGGTAACGGCTTTCCATAATTGTTAAGTCCAACTTAGAGATAAGTTCAACTTAGGATCTTTGTGAAACACCCCCCTGTATAGGCCTACTCATTGAAAAATACACCGTATCAACAATTATTTATCAATCAATTACCTGAACGGTGTATGACACAGCAAGACCTGCCGTTGCAGAATCGATCTCACCGTGGTACAAGACCACAAGGAGATGAGCGACGAAAGCGAGAAGGATGACAAGAGTCTCCAGCCTCACGCCAGCCCACCGAGCAGACATCCTGAAGAACATGTACGGCAGGGCGTTCCCGTCGAGCAGCATGCGGAACCTGACGATGAAGTCGTCCGTCTTGTTGTAGGCGTGGATCGTGGAGAGGCCTTGGACGGTGGCGGAGATGTGCGAGAACCACGGCGAGCGGGTGATGTTCTCGATCCGCTTGAGATCGCGGATGCCCTTGCGGTAGTAGCGCAGGATGATGATGAAGATGATGAAGGTCGGGATGATGATTGCGATGAAGATGGGGAAGATGATGCAGATCACGATGAGGGCGAAGGAGACGAGGAAGATGTTTTGGAGGAAGAGTTCAAGGTTGAAAGGCAACAGCACATCAACTGCAAGAAAGGAATAGTTAATTGGATTAGTATTAATGCTGATATAACAACTTCCATTCTAATAAGCATTCTCTTTGGTTGTCATGGTGTTGAGTATAGACAATGCTTGACTGGAGGACAGTGATCTGTGAATAATGAGCTGAAATGTTCAATCCCACCACTGCCACCGGAAACTGGCCTTTAAAAAGTGAGTGAGCAGCATAAGCGCATGCCTAGTAGGTTGTTATTATTTCTGCTAGGATGTACTTAGTATAGATTTCCTGAGATTCCTTGACAACACAGATAACACATATTCAATTGTTTTCTAGCTATATATAATTCAATTTTTAAGATCCATATTGTATGCATTGTTGAAATGTTTGCATTTCCAAATCATCTTTTCATTCCTAAAAGCTAGTTTACATAGCGTTCCATTCTTCAAAATGCTCTTGAGTTTTTGAATTAGATTGTTTTTCTTAAAAAGACGGTTCCATTTAGTAGATACATGCCATGACAAAGAAAGATATTCACCTTCGTCCAAATCTTTGGAGAATCTGTTGAGAATACGACCAGTGGGCGTGGTATCGAAGAAACTCATCGGTGAGCGGAAGACGTTGATGAAGACAGTGTCGTGCATGTGAGAGGCAGCTTTCAGCGTTACCTGGCAAGAAGCAAAAGGACAGGTGGATTCATAGATAATATAATTATCTCACAGAAATGATTGCTGCTTTTTATTTCTCTTAAAGGCATCGTTTAACAATGTTAAATCTGTGATACATAGCCCTACGTGTTATCAGTGTCTGTGATATGGTGTAATATTGAAGCCCTAAAAATTGTGCTTCAAGATGATCATGAAGTGCCTCAAAAAAGTAAAAATATTTGAATGACCGGTTTTACCATACTCATTTTCCCCAATAGACTGTAGTGTAATAAAAACCGTTGGAAAAACGTTTTTTTTAATTTAGATTTCAAATCATAAATATCTTGATAACCAGATACCGGCAGGCGATCATCTTGTTAAAGTCATGGGATTCCTGACTGGCCTAAAGGTTTATAATTATGATTTCAGAATCTGAGGAATGTTACTGAGTCAATAATAACCAAAGGTTAGAGTCTGAGCTCATCAAGTCAAGTAAATTTGGAGCACATACACTGGATATCTTGAGCATAAGAATCTGCTTTGGATACTCAAGAATCTTGTACATGGAATAACACAGTGCCATCTTGACCACAATTTAAAAAAAATAAAATATGTATAGTTGAGAATTAAAAAAGTACCAAACAGAGTATATTGTTAATCCCATTTTGTGATTTGACTGGGGGTTATATGAAGATACAAAATTATTAGTCAATATCTCCTTGTGCCTTGTTTGTAAATTACAGATTAAGAGTTCTATAACTTCAAACACTAAACGCATCATGACTGACATCAATATAATAATAATAATAAATTGTTTCTTTTATAGCGCTATATCCAATTTAGATTTGATCAAAGCGCTTCACAAAATAAATAAATCAATGAGTTAAAACTCAACAACAAAAATGATTGAAAATGTAATGCAATTAAATACAATGTAAATACCGGTAGGTGTGTTTTAAGATGCTTCTTAAATAATTCAACTGACACTTTTCATAACAGGCAATACTGACAGGGACCAATATTGAAGCTATTCAATATATTCTTGCAATGAATATTCACAACCATGGAAATATATAGCATGATATGATTCCAGCAAGTTCTTAGATTACAATGCCATTCTCATTATGAAAGTAAATCTTGTTAAGTGTGAAATAAAAAATGAAATATCACCTACCTTCATAAAGACAAGACTCTTGAATGCTCCGAACATCATGATAACAATGAGAGAGAGGCCGTAGATCAACTGATATTTCTGAGCGTCAGGATTCAAACCAATGTCACCGTCAGGGTCAGTCTGTGGGGGTCAAGAAAACAATGCATACATTAGCATTAGAATGCATACACTAGCATAATAATGCATACATTAGCATTAGAATGCTCAAATGAAACCTGCACTAAGATTGTCCGTTCATGCAGAACCAGAAGGGGCTTTAACTTTGTCTTAGAGTATATAAGCTAATTGGTTGGTCGTTTTGTGGAATCTGAAATATTTCCCCCCTCCCCCTCCCATAGATATTGTTCATGGGAAGGAAATTTTCAGAGCTCCATTGACCGAACTTGTGTACACATGCCGCAACTATCTGTCTCAATGTGCTATGGTCTACCCTTGCCCCCTACCTATCCTAAATTACCACTTCCATTATCCATAGTACTACTCTACCCTAGCCCCTACTCATGTACTTTGCCCCTATATACTCTCCTCTGTACCCTCACTCACTTCCATCATTAGCCGTGCATGTACCAATGCCCCTACCCCCCCCCCCCCCCCCTTAACCCAACTCCTCAAGAACTATTTACCATTTACCTTAACCAGCTAGTAGCAATATTACACTATCCGACTAATCTACCATTGCCTCTATATACCCTCCCCTTAACCCTCATTCCACATACATATTGTTGAGTGTGATAGAATATACTAGTGCTATCTCACATACCCATACCATGCACTAGCCTAACAATCAATGCACCTGCCCCCCCCCCCCCTCTGAAAAACCCTTTCCACACCCCTACCACCTCAACAACTTACCCCCATTCCCTTGAGTGAGGCAGTGAAAGGGGTACACACCGTCTACCAGCCCTCCCCATCTAACATTCCCCATAACAGATATATTACCACGCCCCTCCCGAGGCCTACGACCCCCTCATCCCCATCCCTATCCCTACCACTTCCTGGGGCCCATTTCACAAAGCATTTTTTTCAATGACAAACGACATAAATCAGTGACAAATCTGCCGATAACCAATCAGAAGCAAGGATTTCAGTAGCTTATGACAAAAACTGTCATTTGTCACTGATGACAAGTATTGTGAAACATCTCCCTGCACTTACCCCGTTTCCTTGGTTAAGCCAGTAAGTGAGGTACATGTTGTTGAGTGTAATGGAGCCAAACATGAGGATAAAACAGAAGAGTACGAGGAATCCCATGTGATAGCCGCCCATCGATTTGATGTAGGTGCCGTAGGTGCCCCAGCCAACAGATTTTGTGCTCTTATCCTCCGAAGACATCAGTTTACCTAAAAGGAAGCAGAAGGCAATCATGCTTTAAAGGGATCATCCAGTGACTTTGTTCACGAAGACACCGTCCACGGACATAAGCTGGTCGTGGTGACCGCGTTCAACGATGCGGCCGTCCATCATCGTCATAAATGTCTTGATAATCAGACAGGCGATCGGCTTGTAAAAGTCATGGGATTCCTGGACTGACCTTAAGATTTATAATTATGATAGCAGCATGAGCTAAATCCAGGATTTTGTTTCAGAATCTGAGGCAATGTTACTGATCGAGTCACATTAAAGTGACCTTTCCTTCCCTTAAAGCTTATCTGCTGTAGTTTACAGGATGGATTAGACCGCTCTGCAAGGTCACTGGACAGGTGGTTATCTCATCAACTCAGCTCTCAGTTAACATAAGAAAAAGAGGATCATGGGGGACCAATGGTCACCGATTAGGCATTGTTTGTTATATAGAGGGAGCAAGTAGCTACCAGTAGTGCAGTGGGCCTTTAAAGCATCACAAATCATACCCCCCTTCACACTCACCATCAGAGTCTGCTACAGCTGGTTCTGGATCCGGAGCCTCAAAAATGTAAAAATCTTTGATTGACTGGTTTTACCATACTCATTTTCCCCCAATAGACTGTAGTGATATAAAAACCGCCACTCACCATCAGTGACTGCTACAGCTGGTTCTGGATCCGGAGCCGCGTCCGCGATGAAGCTGGACGCCCTGGACCGAGAGCTAAGCTGGGATTGCGCCCTCTCTCGTCTCTCCACCATCGATTCCTCCTGCTCCGGCATGTCCTCATCGGCCTCGGGGTTCTCAAGGTCTTCCAGGTCCGCCGCCTCCTGCTTGGAGTGGAAGGTGTTGATCAGGTTTGCGTAGACGCCGTCCACGGACATGAGCTCGTCGTGGTGACCGCGCTCGACGATGCGGCCGTCCATCATTGTCATGACGAGGTCACAGTCCTTCAAGTACTGTTAGTGCAAAAAATGAGTCATGCATGAGTGTTGTTATACAGTAGGCTTGAGGGTGCACCATGTGTGAGAGAGAGAGAGAGAGGATTGAGGAGTCCTTAAAAGGACTTTTGGTAATCTTTCTTGAGGATGTGTAGTCCTGAAAAGGACTGTTTGTCTAGCCTTAAAAAAAGACTGTTGGTTATCTTTCTTAGCTTATAGTTCTAAGGAGAACTATAGCGCTTGGAGAGGATGAGTGGCAGGAGTGGCTCGAGTGTTGTTGTTGTTTTTTGTGTAGTGGCAATCAGTCAAGAACCGTCTATCACCAACGCCTTTTTTTTAAATATTAATTTCTTTCTTTCTCTTTTTTCTCTTTTTTAAATATATAATGTGGATAACAGTATAAAAACTAAAATACAGGCTTCTCTCTCTTTTTCTTTTTGCCCCCTTTCTATGAAAAAAAAAGAAAAGAGGAAAGGGTGTTTTTTGATATATTGTCAAAGTTCTATAATAATCCAGTTAAGTCAATAATCAAAGAAAAAAAGTAAAAGTGCTTTCTACACAGTAAAAAAGTGGAAAAGCTTCATAATTTACAAATAATCACACTTGTGCTGTTCTAAAGCACAGACAAAATGAAAGTAAAGTTTAATTAACTGTTGCAATCAAATTCTTTTAAGCCCTGCCCAGTTATACCGTTCTAGTTCGACCATACGTCCACACACAAGACATTCTGTGATTCTTTATCGAGTTCCAGTTAAAAAACGATGCCCAGACCCACGTTTCGTTATACGACGTATTGTTAGTAAGCGTACACACACACAATTTCATCATATAACTATCCCGAAACGGTATACTGTTACAAGATAGTTATACAAATTTGTTGAGTGTGGATACGGGGAAAGAATCTTACTTGAAGTTGATGAGTAACAAAGAGTACAGTCTTTCCCTTGAGGGCAGTGCTGATGCAATGTGTGAAGATATGAAGACCAACATGGGCGTCCACGGCACTGAGAGGGTCGTCAAGGAGATAGATGTCACGGTCTGAGTATAGCGCCCTCGCCAGACTGATACGTTGCTTCTGTCCTCCGCTCATGTTGATACCACGTTCTCCAATCTGCATTGAACAAAAAATCGGACAAGCTGATAATATACAGTAGGCTTACGGTTGCACCATGTGAGTGAGGGGGAAGGATTGGGGAAGTCCTGAAAAGGACTGTCTGTATAATCTTTCTTTCTTGAGAGTGTGTGTAGTCCTGAAAAGGACTGTTGGTTCGACGTTTCGAACAGGTTTATTATCCATCGTCAGGAGTGTTAAGAACATGGAAAATAAGTCAACCAACTGTGATACCATCTTGAACACCAAATAAAGATGGGATTAGTATGAGATTAATCATAAAACCCATGTAAACACTTCAGTGTTAGGAAAAACATAAGAATGCATCACAAACAGTCTCTGATTTACTACATAGTCCATCCTCCTCCAAAGGCTACTTTTTTAGTCTACCTTGAGTACTCTGTACAAACCTGTTCTATGTTGATATATATAATTTGATCTCAATAAACATGTGAAGAAATGCTTGTTATAAATATTTATGTATGATGTTATCCATGATTTTGTATCTGAATAAAGACTTATTTCAACAACAAAAAACAAAAAACAAATCATATCAACATAAACTAAAATAAATCACCACTGACCTCGGTTTGATCTCCCATTGGTAGAATAGCCAGATCGGGTTTGAGGGAGCAAGCGTCCAAGACCATATCGTATCTGTCCTCGTCAAACGGGATTCCAAAGAGAATATTGTTCTTGACCGTGGCGTTGAAGATCCAGGCCTCCTGGGCGGCGTAGGCGAATGCGCCCTGGACGCAGTTGTCGCCCTCCATGTTGTGCATCTGTCCGAGGATGGCCGAGATGAGGGAGGTTTTGCCCGCTCCGACGGTACCGCAGACGCCGGTCAGTTTACCCTGGGGGAGAATCAAATGAAAAACAGCTGGGTTAGTCGGAATGCTCCCCAGGGAGTGGAGAATGTGCATTACATTGTGTGCGAGCAAGCCTGACCAATCTGATGACCCGAGTAATGATATATCTGTGCTAAGCGCTAAGAGACATTATGTATTAAGCGCTATATGAAAGCGGAATTTTATTAATATTATTATTATACGTTTCATTCCATAAGGTGCTATAGGTTCTGTGGTATAGTGGCACAGCACTTAAACGTCCTTTGTCAAAAAGCTTATCTACATTTGAATAAAAGTGAAATCAATGCAGATTAAACTGAGTAAAAAAAAGTACTTTAGAAATATATGGAAACTGAAACTTTATATAAAACTGTGCACAAAAGGAAAATTTCAAACTAGTTTTCTCAAAAAAAAAGCGTAGCCCGTAACGTTCATATACACATCTCTTTTTTGAGGAGGATCTCTCTCTCTCTCTCTCTCTCTACGTGACATGTCCTGAGACGTTGGCGACCATGGAATGCCACAACCCTCTGTCCCATACTCTATGAAGTAATTCATTAAATTCCTTAAGCTAATCATCCACAGAATCCTCCTTCTACCCCTACTCCTCCTCCCCTCGATTCTTCAAGTCAGTGCATGATTGAGGAGGATACCATTTTCGTTTACCTTTTCCAGAGCAAAGTTGATCCCGAAGAGCACCTTAGAGACCTTGTCGTCAGGAATTTGGCGTCTTGGATGAACTTTGCTCTTCTGGATGAGTTTATCGACGGCAACCGTATCCAGACCGGCCTCGGCCAGGGAGACTGGCTTGGTAGCGATGCTGAATCTCTTGCCTTGTTCGTTGGCCTTCTTACCCGCATCCGCATTGCCATGTGGTTTCTCTGGCTCGATGATGGTGATGGCAGACTTCTTGGAGGGCGCTTCCTCGTCAAGGTCAACCTGGGTGTGGGAAGGAACGCAGACAGAAAAAGAGATGTAATGCGGAACTCCATATTAATCGCTCATCCTGATATGAAACCGTGTTCCTTGATGTCTAACTTCAAGGCATTATTTAACAATTTCCAGTTTTACAAATCTGAGATGCATGGCCCTATGTATGTGGTATCAGCGTCTGTAATATCGTGTAATATTTAAACCCTAAAAAAAATTATGCTTCAAAATGAACATGAAGTGCTTCAAAAAAGTAAATCTTTGAGTGACCGGTTTACCACACTCATTTACTCCAATAGATTGTAGCGTTATAAAAATTGTCGGGAAAACAGTTTTTTAAATTTTGAATTCCAATCATAAATATCTTGATAATCAAACAGGCGATCGGCTTGTAAAAGTAATGGGATTCCTGACTGACCTAAAAGTTATAACTATGATTGCAGCATGAGCTAAATCCAGGATTTAATTTGTTTAGAATCTGAGACAAAGATACCAAATCCCTTTAACGTTAAAATACGCCTTGAACTGACCTGCAGGTTGACCTCCCTTGTATGGACGTACGCCACCTTCCTTTCGTTGTTGTTGGCGCCGTTCTCAATGGCTCTACTCTTCAGTTTGATCTCCTCCTCTTCCTCCTCTTCCTGCTCTCCGCTCTCCAGCCTATCCCAACCGAACACTCCGTTTCGGATGATGACGGCGTACTTATCGTTCCTTGGGAGGATGTCTAGAGGGTTCTGCTCGTCCATCACAAAGACACTCTGCAAAAACAAATGACAGCGATTACCACAATGGCCACTATTTTGATAATGGCTCTTTTTTTATACTCACAATTAGCAACGGATTTGCAATGAACATTATCAAAATTATCATTAACGTCATTAGTTAGACTGACGTACAATATAGCTTGAGGAACAATGGCTCAGTGGTAGGTCCAATATTAGAAAACCAGGTTGATGCATTAATCCTCGTTTCCAAGTCTCTCTGAGAGGACTTATAAAGCCGTTGGTCCCCTGGTTGTTTACGCACATGCATACATATGCTTTCTCAGCAGTCAGGTAATACAAACACACCAACTCTATGTAAGTAGGACTCTCTCTTCCGTTCACACATGGAATACAAGACTACATACCTTTAGCCTACCGAGGGCAATGTTTGCCTCTGCGAGTGATCGGATGGCCCAAGGGGTGGGACCGATCACAGCCCTGAGGGTATTTAGAATGGCCACTAAGGTGAAAGCCTGCAACAGAAGAACAATAAGATAATGCTAACATTTAAAAAATATATTCTTAAATCTGTTCTACATGTATCACACCGATTTGTCTTTTTTAAGGATTTCTTATTGAAGAGAAGTTAAAAATGGTGGGTTACCCGGTATGTCTTCAGTATTCTCTTCTTTCTATTCAATGAAATAGTTGAGGATATATAAGGTCATCCCATTGTACTTCTTAGAGAAATTCAATTTACTTATCATCAAAAGGAATAAAAGGACACAGTGATTTACAGACAAAAGATATCTATATCAAAACAAAGAAAACAACAACATTACAAAAAAGTATTCGGTAATTTGTGTCATATAAAAAAAAGATGAATACACTTATGCAAACTAAAGTACCTGTGCTTAATTGTGCTCATGATTTCTAATTTTTATTAACTCTTATTTATTTGTTGTTATATATTAATATTAAGCACTTTTAATAAAGTATATATATCCCATTTTAAGAGTGTCAAGTCTGACAGACATGATTGCTACACAAGAACCAACAATTATTATTATCATTATCATTGTCAATATTATTATCAGTATTATTATTATTATTATCCTAACCATCATCATCATCTTCATCATCATCATCATCATCATCATCATCATCATCATCATCATCATCATCATTATTATCATCATTATTTTTACTATTTGGTTCAATAAACAAAAGCAATTTCTTAGGCGGGGAATAAAGATCTGTCCACGTATGTAATGATGAAAATAGTACATTTGTGGATGTGAGTGGTTCATCGTAGTCTGAAGAGAGGAAGATGACGATGGTGAGAACGGTTGCAATGTTAGGTGTGATGGGGGAGATGGAGAGACTGAAGCTCTGCATGTAACCAGCCTTCTCCAGCAGAGACCGCTCCAAGTTCCTGATAGCTGCAAAGTCAGGTAAAGAGAGCCGTAATTAATACCTGAAACATCCATAGCTTATATATACATTCAGTCAAACATTAAATGGGAGACTAGGCAGTCAACCTGAATAGAAGGACTATTTAAAGGCATTAGGTATCTTTGCCTCAGATTCTTAACAAAATCCTGGATTTAGCTCATGCTGCAATCAGAGAGGACCTAAATCAGTCGGTCCTCTGGCTGCTTACTATCAAGCATTATGCTTTCTTAGCAGTCAGGTAAAATAACCACCACACTCTTATAAACCTTTAGGTCAGTCAGGAATCCCATGACTTTTACAAGCCGATTGCCTATCTGATTATCAACATATTTATGATTGGAATTAGAAATATCAATTGGTCTACAAGACTGCACACACAACAAATCCGTAGTCCCATCAAGAAATACCCCTCGTCTTCCAGAGAGTCTTCGGTTGAGGGAAATGTAAGATAATGACGTTTCCATATGGGGCTATTGGTTGAAAATGCAGAGCATTACCCCATCGAGAGCCCACTGCTATGCATCATGTGAATGGGACAGTCAATCGAGGGTAAATTAAAATTATTATTACCACTATAACTATTATTATTATTACCTGAAATTGCTTTTGAGAAGGGTACCTCCCAGGCGTACATCTTGATGAGCTTCACGTAGGTCAGTACTTCGTTCATCTTCTGGACGCGTTCATCAGTCACCGAGATACAGCGATCACGGAGGATTGATGTGATCTTACCAAAGATCATCTGTAAGAGGAGGAGAAATGGAAAGGATTAATGAAGTAACATCTTAAAGCCCCACTCTTCTACTTATAGCTACTTGCGCCCTTTATATAGCAAACAATGCCTAATCGGTGACCATTGGTCCTCCATGATCCTCTTTTTCTTATGTTATTTGAGAGCTGATTTGATGAGATAACCACTTGTCAGTGACCTTGCAGAGTGGTCTAATCCCTGCTGTAAACTAGTACAGATGGGCTTTAAAGCATTGTTGTAAAGGTGTTAATTGTGGTCGAGAGGATATGTCACAGGACCATGGATCACATGGTTTCTGGTTCGAGTCCAGCCGCGGCGCTAATGTCCATTCGCAAGACATTGATCTACATTTGCCACTCTCCACCCAGGTGAAGTAAATGGGTACCCGGTAGGAAGAAATTCCTTGAATGCTTTAGGCGCCTTATAATGACAGGTCAGCTACAGTGAGGGTTATAGTATGATTCCTTGTATTAAGCGCAGTAGAGTATATTCATAGTAGCAGCGCTATACAAATTGCCCTTTTATTATCATATGTATGCTTTCATCATTGAGCAGTGGGTCTTTAAGAAAGGGGGAAACAAAATGTGTTTGGCATGATTGACTGAATTTCAATTTGCACTATTTGATGTTACAAAACATAAATGCATGTATATTGAACCTGTAATGGTTTAGAAAAATTGCAATGGATATTCACTTGGGGTCATTCCCTGTTTTTTCGTCTTTTACGCTTCAAATTCATTTGAGTTTTACATAGTATTAAGGAATGGAATTTTTATTTCAGAGATCAACTTAAGACCAAAAGCACCTGATCGGACACACACACACACACACACACACACACACACAAAAAATATTTGAAATGATTGCGTTGCCATGGTTACCAACTAGTACAGTATTTACCTGAAGAGGCAAAACATAAATTGATTGGACAAAAAGAAATATGAAATTCGAAATTATTGCATTGCCATGGTTACCAACTAGTACAGTATTTACCTGAAGAGGCCAAAAGCAATTGATTGGACAAAATGGAAATATGAAATTTGAAAAAATTATGGCGTTGCCATGGTTATCGACTAGTACAGTATTTACCTGAAGAGGCCAGAAGAAGATGAAGGTTAGGAGGACACCACAGATAGCAGCCCAACCGATGATCAGGGACGCTGATACCAGCACGGCGAGGATGAGGACGATGGAGACGAAGAGGAAATTACCGTAGACGCAGACGTCAAAGAGACGCTGGCTGTCGTTAGCGCAGATGTTGACGATCTACAAAGAAAAGGATACGAGTGCAATGATCAAACGTTTTTGTATAGCGCATAACACATTTCAGGCATGAATTGAATGTCTTGGATCGATCTATGCACTTTACCGAACAGAATACAGAAGAAGTGGAAATGGTGTACTTTAAAAATGGTATTTTACAAAGTGCTAATTAATTATGTTTTCAAATCACTTTTGAGCTTCTTGTATGTTTTTATATTTCTAACGTATCCCATATAATAATAATAATAATAATAATAATAATAATAATATTCCACTTTTATAGAGCGCCCAATCCATCGATACAACGATGTATCTAAGCGTTTAACAGATATGTGATTACACCGGTCATCGGATTCAGGTTTACCCACACACAATACATTCTCCACTCCCTGGGGAGCATATCAACAACCCTCTCCTGCACTCCTATCCTGCAGGTTCCTCAGCCTGGCTATATTCTTACCCACACACAATACATTCTCCACTCCCTAGGGAGCATATCAACCTACCTCTCATACACTCCTATCCTGCAGGTTCCTCAGCCTGGCTATCTTCTTACCCATACACAATACATTCTCCACTCCCTGGGGAGCATATCAACCTATCTCTCCTACACTTCTATCCTGCAGGTTCCTCAGCCTGGCTATCTTCTTACCCACACACAATACATTCTCCACTCCCTGGGGAGCATATCAACGTACCTCTCCTACACTCCTATCCTGCAGGTTCCTCAGCCTGGCTATCTTCTTGAAGACAAAGGACAGGATACCACTCCTGAGCCTGGTGGCCGTCCGCATGGAGGTCATCCAGAATACCACGTCACACATGACACGGATGATGTTGACCGCCAGGATACTACAGACCAGGATGTAGCCGCGGGACATGGGAGCCTCCACTTCGTCGCAGAATATGAGCAGCTCTTGAACGAGGAAAGACTGGGAAAGAGACAGCAGCAAAGAGAGATTGTAGATATAAATCTATTTGATTTGATTTGATTTGATTTGATTTATTTATTTCTGTTTGATTTTCTTTTTCTTTTGCAGTTTTTCAAATATGTAACAAACAAAACATTGCAAATTTTACACAATCATGACAAAAGAATATATGTAGAATAAAGAAAGACTGGCTGTAACTAATTGAAACATCAAACAGGAGGGTTGACAAAGTAAGCAAAGCTTGATAGCATGACAACCTTTAATGGATACATAATAATACAAATATGGAGGAAAAAATATTGGTAAAAGGGGAAGAGAGAGAGAGAGAGAAAAAAAGAAGTAAAAAAAGAAATAGGGGGTGTAAAATTAAGATATACAGATGTATGTAGTAGTTGGATTTCAATTTGATATACAAAGATAAAACAAAGAAGATGCACATTATTTAGCAGGTCTGAATAGTTTGAGCTGGGGGCGGGGAGGGGGCGTCTATAACCCATGACCTTCACATGTGACGTTCAGTCAAGTGTATTATAAACCACTTGACGACAACACTTCCACAAGTTAGTTACAAGTACATTGTACTGTTCTAGCCCATAATATACAAGAAATATTTAGGGTTGCTTTTTTGAAGAACAAATAGTCACGTTTACTGATTTTATGCAAATATACATTTCTTCAACAAAATATACTGTTGACCACTCAAAAGCTTGCCAGATGCTTGCCCAACCTAGCATCAACAAAGGTATAGTGAAAGTTAATTTCATTAGTTGATGCCATTATACAAAACAGGTGAATTAAACCGTTTTAACTTGGAAGTTTGGAGAGAGAATCATTCGTAAATCGAAATACCGGGTACGTTAGAAAAACAGGGTAATTCCAGATGTCAACTTACAGAAATGACAATGAGACAACCGGCGTATCCAATAAGAGCAGTGATGATGATGACGAGACGAGTCCGGACAAACTTCAGGGCTATTTTACCCATGCTGACCTTCTCTTGACCGACCTTAGCGACCTCCTCGTCCCACATCTTCTCAAACCTGGGAGAAACGAGATGATAAAATCAATTTACAGTTTCTCACCCCTCATCCCCTTTTTTTTTCAAAAATGAAAGAAAAGAAATGATTGAAATAGTTACAAAAAGAATTTTAGGGCATCTAGATAATGTATTGAATGATTTCTCATTTGCACCATTCACACCACAACTACCACCACCACCATCGTCATCAATCATCATCCTCATCACCATTGTCATCATCGTCACCATCTTCATTGTAATCATCGACATTATTATCATCATTGACAATATCATCATCATCATCATCATCATCATCATCATCATCATCACCCTCATCCTCCTCATCACCACCAACATCATGATTATCATCATATATCTTGTTATCACCAATATTATCAAAATCACCATCATCTTCATCATTAACATCATTACCTACTATCATTTTTATCATCATCATTGTCATCATCAACGTTATTATCGTCATTGTCAACATCATCATCAACATAATCATCCCATCATCATCACTATTATAACCATCATCATCATCAACACTACCACCACCACCACCATCATCCTCACCACCACCACCACCACCACCACCACCACCACCACCACCACCACCACCACCACCACCATTATCCTCCCCACCAACACTGCTACTCATCCCTAAATCTCCTCTCAATTTCATTCCCTACCTCAGTCCATTCAGGTATCCAGAGTCCAGTTCCGATTGGTCGTAGAGATCGTCAAATTCAATATTATTCTTCACTGCTTTCACAAAAAGTTTCGTCAACCAGTTGACAGTCAGGAAGGAGAACAGTCCATAATGGTCGAGGGGGGAGTAGTTCTCTTCTCTGGAAGGACAAATAAAAGAATTCTTAAATTTTACATTGCAATCTTTTTTTTTATACCATTTAAATTTCATGATAATTCTGTATTTAACCAAAAAAATTAAATCATCTTCAATGACTAACTGCATTTCAATTTTCTTTTGTTTAAATGGTCATACAAAAAACATACTTATTTGACTGGACTTTAAATCTTTTCCTCTTCGTTTTCTTACCCTTCTTTCCCCCTTCCTTTTTTCTTATTTGAGGGGGGGGGGGTGGAAGGGGGTTTTAATTAAAAAGAAGAATATTAAGTTTTGAGCAAACATACAATCCCAATTGCAATTTTCGTTTATTCCATTTTATACTTTGTTATTGCATTGGAAATTTACAGCAGGGTCAAATCATGTAAATTGTGTAATAGAATGTACAAATGACAATGATTATCTAAACATAAAGACCTTTATGATATCATTTCATTATCAATAAGAAATATGTGAAGCTTAGCTTGACTCCACCTATCAAATCAGGCTACCATTGCACACTTCAAAATATTTCACAAAAATTAACCCCAGACGCAGCACAAACATAATTACATCATAAAACACTTCTGGAGAGAGCCGACGAGATAAAGTCAGTTTGAGTGCACAAGCACATAGGGAAGGGAGGGCCTCTAATGAACGACCTTTGACCAAATGCTTCACTTTAAAACTAACAATGCATCTTTCCTTAGTGCTCTAGCTACTTATAACCCATTTCTTGTTTGCTCT